ATTTTTTGCTCGTAATTATCCATCTTAAATATTGTACACAAAATAATTAAAAAAAAAAAAAAGAGAAATATTAGTTGTGAAGGACATGTGTGTTTATTTTCATTCTAATGGATAACTGTGTCGTGTCGCCTCGTACTTACCGGAGCCAACGCCTGCACAGTCGCAAGTACACCAAATAGGAAAAATATGGATTTCATTTTCACGAATCAAACGTCCACACTTTGACCCCACGGAGTAAGGACTGCCTAAAATCATCGAGTGTGACTAATTTATATTCCCAGTCATCTTCTGCGCGTATCGTGGATACACACACTAGTTACATCTGGGAGTCGGGCAAACAGTGTTTTTTGGCCACCTGCGAGTGACGGCTCCACGTATAGGAAAATTCTCGGTCGTTCATTGTCATTCAAAAACTTATCATTCACGCTGCCATTGGGTATTTGATTGTAATGATTTTTTTTTATCGTTTCAATCTTTTTTGTAAAACTATGAGTATCACGTGTGGAAAGCACCTACGCGATCAACTTTGGCTTATCTATAAACTATACGACACCTCGCGACACACTTTTTGATATTGTTTCAGCTTGATTAAGTAAATATCGATGAGCTAAATTCCTTGTCGATTCAACGATCTTTGAAAATTGATAAATGCCAAGTGATAAATGGGTCATTAACCCTTTTGTGCTTCTGTTTTATGAAATGAATTTTAAATATAACGGAAAAAAGCTTTGGTAAAATTACAGATTTTTTCAAAACAATCAGCTTCTACAATATTTTGAAATATTATGTTTATTTAATTTTAATAAAAAATGAGTGAAAGATAATAGAAAATTTCGTTTGCACAAACAAATACAACGACATAGTTAATAAAGAAAATAAAACTTTTTTACCATAAATTTAAAATTACTTATGCATCGGTGACAATCATGGGCAATTTTCGTGTCATGATTTTTCCAACAGAGCAACCAAGCCAAGCATAATCACAATAGTTTTCAATCATTGCTTATTTGTTGTTAATTTTTAAATCCACTGCTTGAAATCACAGTTAATTTTTCGTGTTTCATAAATCGCAAAAAGAGAATAACAATTCAAAATCTTCGATTGAACACACCAGATCTTGTATTATTTTGTCACATAACTCACGAGTGGGGACTAACGAGCTTGGATTCATCGACCCAAATCTAGTGACCATATCCATTGAAGAATAAATTAAAAATATTTTTCAACTGAAAAAACCATGATATGCCAATATTGTTATGACGTAACGTTCCTGCGATCTTTCACAATCCATCATTCACCAGCAAAGGACGAAAAAAAAACCCAAGGTCCACACCTATACGTGGTATGAGTAAAAGCACGCGCTAGTGCATCGGTGCGGAGGACATGGTGTTGCACCGTACATAGCGTAAAGTATGGACGTACGGTCGGGTGGAGAAAGGGAGAGAGGCTCTGCCAGCGTCGTCGACAGGGGGTTCCCCTGTACACCCACCAGGTGAGTATTGATCGCTGCGCTCACCCACGTAAGCACCTTCACATGGACGGGCTGCACCTCCTCCTCCCGCATATTTTGCACACACAATTACACGCACCGCTAGCTTGTTCTTCGCCCTCCAGTGTACAATATACCAGCGCCAGTCGAGAGTGAGGATGCACGTACTACTTCTTCGTCCTTATCGCCCTGCCCGTGGGACACGAGCCTTTTTTCGCCTCGTTATCGCGCCCAACTGTTGCTCACCCCCTTCACCTCCATCTTGTTTCTTTTTTTGCACTACTTTTCCTTCCGCGTATTTTTTTTTCGGTGTAGGAGAGATCGGCGGTGAATAATGTGCGGCAGCGCACGGGATCACCAGGCGCGTCTATCGCGAGACTCGCACGAGCTAGAGATTTTCTTTGGGGGGGATAAACAGGGCTTACTTTTATGTAGACGCGCTTTGCTCACTGCCGATCGTCGCCCCGGTTTTTACTGCTACTGCTGCGCCCGTTTATTTTTACGGGGATTCAGATAAGAGTACACCCGGTCGTTGGGTTTTTGGTCGATGGAGGGTAGGTGTGTAGCGTTGGATGTTTTTTTTTCTTTTTTTTTTTTTTTCTTGCGCGCGTACATAGTATTGGGCGGAAGGACTCGCGCTGCAGTGGATACGTGAATCGGGGACGTCGAAGAATCGAATCGTTTTTGTGAAAATCAATAATGACACCGGCGCATTTGCTTTGGGAGTCTTCGATTTATGGCTCCTGCTCGAAAGTTTTTTCCTTGAAGACACGGACGGATGGGAGGAGCTCTTACTTTTCGGAGCCGCGACTTCACAGCTCCCCGGGGCGCGATTTCTGGTAACACTTTCGTACAACGTATTATACAAAATGCTTATGCAGCGGAGCTACGTTTTTCTCTCCCCACGCCCACAAACCGTCAATTGTTAATAATAATAACCCACAATTCTGTAGGAGTCGGTGTTTACATGTAGTGTTTTCTCAAGGGTATACATTTGAATGAGCGTGAATAGTATTGTATTCATGTAATAATCGCACGTGCGGGTGAAGACTCGTTTCGATGGGAGAAAATAGCTTTCGAGAGCTTCCTAGACGAGTTGGCCATGAGGCGGAAGAAAAAAGATTAAAAGCACCTATGGTGGCAGATTTCGTTTCGAAAAGAAACTCAATTGATGTGTGCAACTCACACCTGTGCTATTGATGATAACAAAGGCGTGGAAGTTCGTGGAATTCGAGAAGTTTTGAGAAATTTCGAATGAGTAATTGAATTTTTTAGAGGCAAAAGTTGAAAGAAATTTAATTTGAAATTCTAGTTTTGAAAAAATCTATTTATTGTTTGTTACTGTATGGGCAATGCACCTTGGTATGTAAAAATGAAGGAAACTTTTCTTGTACATAATGTGCGTGGAAAATAAGTTTTAAAAAATAGTCATTTTACAGAAAATTATATTTATTCATCTAAAGACGATGAAGCGTTGAGAATTTTTACATTTTTTTTTCTAAAAAAAAAAAAAAAAAAATATCACTTTTAAAAAAGGAAGCAAAGAAGAAGAAGACCTTGCCGCGGTCGACCAAACTTGTAGCAAAATCCTATATCAAGGAAATTCTGGTGCTCTATTGTCGCCTACACAAGCAACCATATTCCAATGTACCAAGCCTTGCCTGCCATATATTATGCTACCGCTATTACACGCAGCTCTGCTGTGACGCCCGTATCGGTATATGTCACGCACAAGTCGCACGTGACCGTGACACGGTCCCCTCGGCGTGTAATATTCCTCTCTCTCTCTCTCTAGCTCCCAATAACCTTTCCACACACAAACACACACACGCCGTGTAATACACGTAGGTATAGTACTTGTACACGCGCGTATCGGCAACTCGTATAAATAACAATTGTCGCTGTCGCGTCGCCCTCCATGTGTACATATA